AGTTCAGACCTCAGTTTAGACTTACGTTGGATTCTAGGAAGAGCAGCAGGAGGTAAGATCCTCTGTTTCAAGACAGCTTACAAACAGGATGCAGAGAAGGTTTTTTCACTGAGTACTATTTTTTCTGCAGTCAATAAGCAACCACAAGAGATTAAAGCTCAATCCTGCAATAAACTTTGTACTGTTTGTGTAACACTAACTTTGTTTGGCTATTAGATCATTAGAAGGTCCTTCCAAAAAACGCTTCACCTAGTCAACCAAGCAATTGCTTGGGACACAACACTGGAGCTGTGCTCTTTGGCAGTGGCTGAAGGCTGCACATTCATCCCCAGGGAAGCAAATTTTTTTCTGGGGTTTGATTGAAACCCTAAATTAGCCTGTCAGAAGGGATGGGAGAGGTTCAGTCACGTGCTGGCAGTGTCCCCTGTCTCATGTTCTGCATGTTCTGCTGATGTTACAGGCAATAGGAGGGGAGGTGAAAGGACATTTCCCATGGGGAAAATTCAGTTTGTTGAAAACGTGGTAGCCCTACCAGGAGGTCTTCGTGTTATCTCACCTTTGTGCAGGTCTCTGAGGGAAACTAATGGGTCTGAAAAAAAAAGAAAAAAAAAAAAAAAAAAGCCTTTTAGGTTTGTTGTGTATTTCCACTCCATGGACAACCAAACCATTTCCTTCAAGCCTGTTGGTAACTTACTGCTGCTGTATGTGCTACAAGTCCCACCAAAAAGATGATCCACAGACAGTGTGAGTTCTTCCAGCCCATAGCTACAGAGCCTTGAATATTTACCACCATGTGTGGAGGAGACATTTTTTACTTCCTACAGTGTATGAACAAGTAAAGTAGCCTTTGTATTCTGCCATTTTTTTAAGGATTATGAGTGCTTTTGTGGTCCACCTGCTCTCCCCCTGGCCTTGCAGATTTCCTCCTTCGGCTCCCCACCCAGCCATCTCCCAGGAGCACTATCTGTCCTCTCCCTTTCCTGTGCCTGGGAACTGGTGAGACTTCTCTGTGCTTCCCACCATTTCCCGTGCTAAGCATTACAAACTGGCTCTGAGGTGCCAACAGATTTATGATATTGATTTAAATTTGCAAGATATGAAAAGTAAATATTGGACAGTTTTATTTGCCCTTTGTTGTTTTTTAGCCTTTAGGCTTCAACTTTTCAATTCTTACAAGCAAGCATGAGAGCTTGAAACTTATATTTTTACTAACTGAAAATTGAGATATTTTCCCTATAAACATGTGATACCAGGTGCAGAAGGTGAGGCAGAAACTTGTGAAAACATTCCTGGAGTTTTACCAGCCATCTTGTCCTCCCAGCCCAAGCAACACAGCTGAGGCAGTGAGTGAGACAAAGGGCTGGGGATAATTGGAAACTGAATAGCACTGCTGCTTCGGGACCTGCTATCCAAGAGGCTGCTTGGGTCTAGGACTGCAGATCTTAGTTCCTGACAACATAAATACTAGGTCATTGACATCATCTTTGTAGCTGCAGTGAACATCTATTCTCCTCTTAGATGTATTCATGAAGTTCTTCCCAAAATCTACCAGGCATGATCATCTAGACCGTCATCTTTTAAAGGTTTTTAAATTCTGCCTTCAGAGCTTGTTATCTGCTGACAGCACTGTGAAGCTAGCTTCTGGTACTCAGCTATCCATATGCTTGTCACAAATGAGACAAGGTATGCACATTCAGCTTAGTGCCAATGAGCATCTTGGTTCACTTTCCTGCCCAGGAAAAATCCATTCAGCATGACTTCTGAAGAAAAGATCAAAACACCCTCTCTGTCTGCAATACACAGAGAGAGAGAGGAAAAAAAAAAAAAAAAAAAAAAAAAACCATTCCTGGGAAGAAAAATCCTGTACGCTTCTCCCCGCTAGATGTCAGCTTTGGGTCATATATATCAATTTATGCCGGTAATAACAAAAAGAGACCATCAGTCCTTGATGCCCTGCCAGGCACAACGTCCTTAAAACTGATACTATCACATCACACGAGTGCCTGCTAATAGGCTTGGAAATCTTTGTTCTCAATGTTTTATTCTTAGCATTTTCTGGTGCACAGAATAGCAATAAATGTAGCTATATCTAGTCTGGCCTGATCTTCACTTCAGACTACAAGTTATCTGCAGGGTCCTCTGTCACATCTGTCATTATGCTACTTCAGGGATGCACACTGCAGCCAACTCACCAAACAATAAAGTTCACAGTTTCTTGGTTATCATAATTTTACATAAATTAAAGATAGGCTGTGACTATTGTAGTTTGGATCAGGAGAAGGACAAGATCTCTGCTTTAGTGCTGTGGCTTTTAGGAGACTTTATATCTACATATATTCCCTTCTTTCAGCAAAATAGCAATTATTTCTTGTTCCATAAGTAGTATTTTCTCTGATACTTCTGAATTAGCTGGTGAAGCTCTAATGTTCTAAGGAAATCAAAGTCTGCTACAGAGATAATATCTAATAATGGAGCTCCTATATAATTGCAAAAAGTGGACAGGTTTTTAAGTACTGGATCCTTTTTCATTGGAGTTCAATAAAAGACTTTAAAAGACTATTTTTCTGAAAGCTTTCCTTTTTGCTTTCTTCTGAGAAGTGAAGAAAATATAGGTAATACACATCTGGACTAGTATTGCAGGTAGAGTGTCGAGCAGCCAACAGCAAAAGCCTGGTTTGTCCATAGTTCTGCACAGCTGGGGTTTTGCAGTTGCTTACTTTTCATACTAACATAGTCAAAGGCTCATGAGTCCAAACACAGAGATCCTGTGTAAATCTGTGCTTTAGTTCCTGTTACAATCACGACGCTCATTACTCCGGCTGGTAATATTTGTTTGCTTTCCACCGATGGCAAATCGCCACGGCTCAAGCTGACATCTATCTCACTGACACATCCACTAGTGACGGGTTCAGTTCAGGACTTTACAACACTCAGTGAAGAATCTGCTAAAGGATAAAGGAGAAAATAACTATAAGCAATGTAAACCAGAACACAATGCAGTTTGCATATAGTCACTACTGATTTTCCTTATCAGATGTGTTTCTTGGGCATATGCCCCGTGTTTGGAAGGAAAGCTGTTTCTCCTTGCATGTCAGTCATGCAAGAAAGTTCTCCCATAATTAAATATTTAAATAGCCACCCCTCTATTATAGTTGTACATGGCCATGAATCTTGTATTTAACCTTGCCTAACACTTTTGATTATAAGATCCAGTTTTCAGTTGCTTATAATTGTGTCATATTTTAAACATTCAAGGCTGAGATTTTCTTTCTTTTGTCTCTTTATTGGGCTGAATTTTTGGAGGAACATTTCACTTGAAAGATGGTCAGCAACTTCCAAGGATGAGGTTAGGGAAAAATATGGTGGTTGGCCCATGCTGAAAATGTCCTACAGTGGTTTCACAGCAGAACTTAGGCAGCTCGGTGCTTCATGCAGGGGCTTGAAATTAGTGGGAGCTGATTCTGGGGGGCATCAGCCTGTACTTGCTGTCTGTATGAAAAACCAACCAGATCTGGGCTAACTGTAAATCACTGTGCTCTGCCTGCACATGCTCAGCAGAGCTTGCCTGAAATCCAGATGTTATTTTTGCTGAGGACTTGTCTAGGACAGAACGTGCTTCCGCTCAGGGCCAAAGGAACACAAAAAGCCTCTCCATCCCCAAGTAGAGGACTGAGAGCTAGTGAGCTGCTGCCCCCATGCCACCTGTGCTTGTGTTCAGCCTTATGTAGCACTGGAGGGGAGAAGAGGTGAAACAAAATGGCTCAAAACTGAGTTGCAGGACAGCAGCTGGGGACAGACCAGTTGGGATGGGGCAGAGGGAACAAAGCAAGGGACGGAGCAGATGGGAGTAAAATAGGATGGGAACAGGGCAGGATGACAGGATTTCAGGGGGACAGAAGAATGCAGAGAAAGGACAAATTTAGGGATGAGGCAGAAGGGGACAGCCTATTACACACTGAGCAGAAAGTGTTCTAGGAGGCCACCAAATATTTGGCTGTTCTTTCTGTAACCACCTCTGTCTCCAAAACCCAGAAGAGCACTTGATTTATTCTCAGCATTACTCTGCAGAACAGCAAATAGCTACAAGGCCCTTTGGGAAAATATGTCTCATCTACCCCCAGTGTTAAATGCTCAAAAAGGAAAAGTGTTTCCTGCTAGTAGACGACTTCATTAGCTCATGCGGCCAGGCTCTGTGCTGTGTGCCTGGAAACCCAACCATATAAAGTCTCTCATCTCCTGTGCACTGTTACATGTAATACAACATAACTTCTGAGCTTTTCTTTCTTGCTTACCTAGTTTGCTGCTATGTCACCTGCTTTTCCCCATAAGATAGCTGCATCTTAATTTGACAGCTGCACCAGCTTTAGAGAAGGTCTGAAGTACATCAGGTGTAACACCAGGTGTAAACCATGCAGTAGGGAGCACCAAGGAAAGATCTGCTGGACCAGGGACAACACGGCGCAGCACAGTGAAAAGGCAAGATGCAAAAGTAGATTGGGTCTGGAAAGAAATGCTGAGGCTAGTCATCCACAGCCAGTAACACTAGTAATTGGCTAGTACTGACTAGTAATCCACAGCCACTAATGCTAGTGATGCTGTGTCAGCACAGCTCCTCTGCTTCCTAGGTGAGCATTCAGAGTTGTTCTTGAGATTCCCAGAGCACTGGTCTTAACCTCTGTGCTCGGGGTTCTTGTCTGAATAGTACAAGATATGATTTTGTTGCACCGATTCAGGAATATTCTTTTTTGGATGGGCTCTGCAAGTGCTAGTAGGCTTAGATTGCCTCACATCAGGCAATCCAAATTCATGGATGTGTTGGGAAGACAGTGCCTCATGGGATCCTATCCCATTTGGCTCATGCTGCCACTATGGCCCTGGAGCTGTAATGCCTTCTTTTTCTCCTAGAGAGTTCAGATCAGAAAAACAATGATCCTTTTCCCTTGTGAGGTCCAGGGATCCTTTCTGCCCTCTGACAAAGGGAAGGGAATCAAACATGGTGGACTTTCCAAATTGTGAGGTTTATCTCCAACTTCATCCCAACCCAAGATGCAGCAGGACAATTCCTTTGGGGAGAAGGAGTCTACTCCTCCTCATGCACCAAATTTGTCTTGTATTCCTTGGACACAGCAGATCCTGAGAGAAGCACAGTGTACCCTGCCACCCCGAACTGGAGCAGGGGCTGCAGATGTCATAACTGGTGGCTCCTCTGTTTGCTGGGACTGGAAACAGCCTGTGATTTGGAAAGCTGTGGGATGCGGTGAGTAGCTCTCAGCACAAGTGCAGTCTGGACCCATGCTATTTTCCTCCCTTCTCTTAGAGTGTTATCAGCTTGCTAGTGTAATCATTGCTTTAAGAAGACCAAACCAAGCAGCCATCCATCTGCCTTAATCTTCCTACACCTCTAGATTCTTTCAGTAGCCTAATTTCTGTGATGTGCCTTTCTTTCACCTCATCTTTACCCTTTCTCTTCATGTTTTACACTCCCAGAAAAACTGGGAGAAACCAGGATCATGCTCCTGGTGTTCTATTGTGAAAGCCTCTTTCCTTGCATGTCTTTAAGCAAGGAAGGTCTGGCGTGCTTTGTGGCACCAAAAAGACACAGTGCAGTCTTTACACCAGGGAACCACTCTCCATAAAGATAGTGGAGCTGCACACTGACAAAACTCTTCACCATCAGTGCTGGAATCAGGCCAAAAGGGCATTTGGTTGGGATGAGAGATTGTGTCAGGATTTGATGTAGGACATGCTTACCATTGTGTGAGGAGTCATGGGCTGCAGGAGGCAGGGCGGGAGTGTACAAGCAGGGTCACAGACTGGACACGCAACCATATGAAACGATTTCAGAAAGTGGTTCAAGAGTCATTTAAGTATTGCTGGGAACTGCCTAAGGAAGGAGGACAATGTCTGTCTGTTCTCAGTATGAATACATACAGCACTGCTCATCTCAGACACGTATCTAAGACTACTTTCAAGCAAATAACCACACAAATAAAGGCTAGTGAAGCACAACCTGAAGTATGTATGTAAAATAGGGATAAGGTTTTAACGTCAGCAAGAGTAGCGCTTGAGAACAGCAGATGCTGTTTCCCAGAACATCCTTTGGTCCTCACAAGCTGCTGCCAAAGCTGCCTCCAAAGACACTGAGCTCACACAAGGTGGGGCAGCAGAGGAGCTCAGGCATGACTCAGCCTTGAGTTTTCCTCTTGATTTCCATGGGCGGCTGTCCCTGAAGCCAGCGAGTCAGAGGCAGCTGGATATGACATTAACCATGTCACGCCCTTATGTAGGGTTGGTTACAGATTATTTTATTACTTTATCCATAACCTTACCTGGCCCAATAGGCCAGCTATGATTGTGTAGACATCTAACCTTTCTCTTCCTTCTTCTTCATCATTTATTTTTTTTTAATACAATGGTACTGTCAGTGGAAGAAGCAGCTCACTCAAATCCACAGAGCACAATAAAAGTGGAAACAAGAAGCACCTGGGAGTTGCACCTGCCTGAGAGGAAGAACAACCTGGGACTGGTGCCCGAATTCTACCTTACAAACTGGGCAAAGGACTCCCAAGTTACACCTGCAGTGTGAGTGAAGCTGCCATCTGACCATGTGGGAATCAATGACAACTGTCTTTACATGCCTTTGTATAACCATCATAGAAGAATGTAGAAATAGAGCTGAGAGGAGGCCAGAGAAGCCTGAAATAAGAAAAGCCCAAACCTGTGCTGGTTTCCGCTGGTGGAGATTCCCCATCTTCCAAAGTAATCTTTTTTCAGTGCTTTATTAGACTTAACACAAGAAAGATCATTGCTGGGCATCCCCTTCTTTGTTTCTTGCCCTGATCAAGTCATGCAAGTTCCTGCAGCCTTTCCTCAAGAACCGTGTTTTCTATACTTGTCTCCTATGGATTCTTCAGGTATTCCACATCCTCCCTTAATTAAAGCACCAGAAACTGGACATGATCCCCCAGCTGAGTCATCTGCTGCTCTTATCTAGATCAGGGAAGAAGGAATATGCCAACACTCTTGTTTATTCAGCTGTGATGGTAGAAAAATATTTTTCTATTCATTACTCAGCAGTATGTTCCTTACTCATTCTGTCAGAGGTACCATTTCATCCTGAGATAAAGGAAGGAGTCAAACCATTTTGTTCATCTCTTCCAGACAAAATAGTCTCATCATTTTTGCTTACTCATACCCTTACTAAAGTTAAGATACATCTTTCTGCTGTTCTCCCCTATCCACAGTTCCTGTCACAGAAGCATATAGATTTGATATGATTTGTTCTTGATAGACCCATACTGGTTGTCACTCACCTTGTAGTTAACTTCTGAAGGCTCAACGATTGCTTCCTCTGCCCCCTCATAATTTGAAAAAATAGTAAGAGGCAATACATTTATCTCTGTACTCCATGATTCCTCAAAGATGACAGCTAATAGTTCTGGCATTGCTTCAGACGCTTCTCTTAGTATCCTAGGAGGAATTTCATCAAGTCCAGCTGATTTGAAAACATCCAACATATCTAACTCTCTGCCATGATACTGCTTGGTCTGGCAGCAAATTGAAAACATTCTCAGACATTCTTAGCAAAATGAAGGCCCTAGATAGAATTCTGTAACAAAAATATTCCTTTACCACATGAAAAAAAAAAAAAAAAAAAAAAAAAGCAGTTGGAAAAGCCAACAGGTGTGGAAAAGCCCAGATTCAGCAGGACTTGCCCTTATGAGCTAAAAATGGGCAAGTTCTGAATCCTCAAGGAAAGCATAATAAAAGAATACACAAGTAATTCAACAGGGAATGGAAAGCAAGCATATTATTTTTTTATATGAGGTGCCAAGAAAAGAAGCAAAGCATTGGTACACTCATTTCTACATGATGTTTGAAATCTAAGAAATAATATTAAGAACCAGAAAGTCTGATCCAAAATGCAGACACTGTTACACCCAGCATATTAGAAACTTTGGGAGAGGAAGACAGTCAGTGGGACACTAATATGGAGGTACAAACTACACAGTAAAGATAAACTGTGCCAGCAGCAGAGTAGTGATCTGCCTTTCTGAAAGCTTAGCATCACGTTGAATTTTTCAGCTAAGCAACTCAACGAGTAACATAGTGTTTATAAAGATTGAAATTCCAGGGCTAAGTATGAAGAATATATGTACAGAATCACAGAATCACGGAATTGTCTAGGTTGGAAGAGACCTCAAGATCATCGAGTCCAACCTCTGACCTAACACTAACAAGTCCTCCACTAAACCATATCGCTAAGTTGTATGGTAGATAATGTTACTGACACAGGACAGGACAAGAAAATGCCTTGTATTTGATAAGCTGAAGGAGATCACAGTGGCAGTGTGGTAAGGAAATACAGTAGTAATGGGAGACTTCAACTGCCCTGCTGTAGATTGACAAATATCATACTAGGACATGAAACAGCGACATTTTTGGACTCTGTTAGCAATTATTTAATGGAGCAGATGGTTAGAGAGCCCAGAGGAGCAAATGCAGCCCTCAGTTTTGTACTGACAAATGTGCATGATCTGGTTCTAGCCCTTCCAATGGAAGCACCACTCTGTGACCATGACCACAGAGAACTCAGAGTCACCAGCTCAAGCGGAGCACCACAGGCCAGATACTCCCCTGTCATTGTGCTAAACTTCAAGAAAAGCTATGCAAGAAATGAGGAATCTTGTTAAAAAGAAGCTGGAAAGGTCAGCAGAGAGGATCAAATCCTAACAGCAGCATGGAAACTACTGAAGAACACCAGACTGGTAGCACAACACCGCTGCGTATGACCTATTGAGAAAGGCCGGAGAATGGATTAAAGGAGGCCAGCACATATAAACAGCCAAGTAAGCAAGTTTATTAGCAGTATGAAGGCATTTTTCAAAAAGATGTCTATTGTATCCAAGCAAATAAAACGAAATGAATCATGCAGTCTGGCAAATAAAAAGCAAAATGCTCATTAGGAAAGCTAAAAAGGACTTTGAGGAGCACTAGTTAAAAGAATTAAAACTAGTACTAAGCCCTTTGTCAGAAATGTCAGGAGCAAAAAACCTGCTAGGGACTCTGTATGGCCAAGCATAACTCAGAGACATTGAGGTCTCAGAGATGGTGAAGCTAAATTAATTATTGGCATTGCTCCTCATTTGGAAGAAATGGGGGAATTGTATGTAAACTGGGAAAATGCAAAGGATGTCTGAAATTGAAGTAATTGTGGATGAGATTATGTTTCAAATAGACAAACTGAACACTAACAGATGGTACCTACCAGAAATCAAGGATGAAAATGCTGAGTTACTAATGATAGTGTGCAACCTTCCAGTTAAAACCTCTCTGGAACCTGAAGACTGGAAGGTTTCATATATGAAGCTGATCTTTAAAACAATTCCCAGGGACATCCAAGGCAACACGTTTTATGTTTCGTACTATTTTTTCAGCTTCAGGAGACCAGAATGTGTATACACGAGAGAGGAACTTTTACTCTTTGCCAATCATTAGTGCTCAGTTGAGAATTCACTGATATGTAAAGAAATACAATATATTTCAAAAGAGTCAAAATAGCTTGCATACAGAAAAGTCCTTCCTGAGATGCCTCCTTGGCATTTGTTGAAAGCATCAGCAGCAGACAGACGAATGTGGACAGAATCTGTCTTGAAAAGTCCCTTGTAAAGTCTGCTAAGTACACTGAATAGCCAAAGTACAAAAAGGAAAAATTCTAAGAAAGTATTAATTAAAATAAAGAAAATGGAGTGTAGGGATAAACAGTCATTGTCCAATCTGAAGAATTTCACCAGCAGAGCTGCACAAAGGTCTGTGCTGGACCTGTGTTCAACAATACTCATAAATGATCTGAAGCAGAGTGAGCTGTCAGATGACACTAGCCGATGGTACGAGATATTCAAGTTAGTGAGGATGAAGGCAGACTGTGAAGAAACATACATGTAGAGGGGTTTTTGAAGACTAATGAACAAATAAATTGGCAGGTGAAACTCAGAGCAGATAAGTAGAAAACAATGCACTTGAGAGGAAGTCCCCACTTCTCATGTTGATTTATGACCCCATGGTGACCATTGCCACTAAGGAAGGAAACATGAAGGTAAAATGACATGAAGACATTAGCTATGTGCTCTGGAGCAATTAAAATGCTAGTCAGAAGTTGGGAGCTAGTAAGAAAGCGAGAACAAAACAGTGAATAACATCATGCTTATGTATAAGCCCATGGTTAGCCCCAAGCTTGAATCTGTGTGCAATTCTGTTCTACCATCTCAAAACTTCACATAAAGGCTACAAAGATGATCAAAAGTATGGAATGACTTCTGTAGGAGGAATGACTCAGTAGACCGGAACATTTCTGCCAGGAAAAGAAAAGATGTTGCGAGAGGTCTACAAAAGCCTGAATGAAGTGTTGATGATGCATTATGATAGATGTTGCTTCCAACTCAAGAACTAGGGACTACAAAATGATGCTAGCAGGAACCAGGTTCAGAAACAACCAAAAAAGAAGTGGTTTTCATTCAAGTAATAAAGCTGTGGAGTACTCTGCCTGAGGATGTTATGGATATGAAAAACATACTTGTGTTCAAGGAAACACTAGACAATGTTTGGAAGTGCACTGCATTGGAGGATATTAAACAGGGAAAAATATTGGGATGAGGAAATCTCTGGAGCTAAATTTGTTTGAAGATTAGGAGAGTATCATTCATGCTTCACCTTTTCTTACCTTTCTGCAGGCATCTGCAATGGCCACTGTTGAAGAAAACTACCAGGCTACATGGATCTTTGATCAAAACCACAACAGCAGTTCTCATGTGCATCTTTCTTACACAGTAGTTTGAGTGATCAGTCTAAGCTGTTCATCATAGCTGCTTTAAAGCCAGGAACAACAAAGAGCATAAGGGTCATCTCCTACTTTATCTACACAATATCAGAGGTCCCTTTGCATTCAGTTTCTTCAGTGTACCTTCATAGCCTAAGTATGAAGTAGAAAGTACTGAGCTGTATTCTCTCTAAATAGACTTTCAAGCTCTCTTCTATTCTGGGGTTTTGAATAAATGGAAATGTAAAGATTCTTTACAAACATGAGTTGCAAAAACAGTTACTATTTCACAGCTTGTTCCTTAAATAATGAAAATCACTGTAACGGTTTAGAGCTGTGTGGGCACATCCACACTTCTCTGATAAGCGTGCATTAGGATCACTTCTGCTATTCAGCCTGCACTTCTAGTTCAATTTCATTACTGATTATGCCAAGCTGTTACCAATGCAGTTCCAGTCTTAGACTCCCTTCTACCTTACCACCCATCTCCCTCTTGATTTAAATCTTCCTTTTTTCTTCATATTTATGCAGTGTTTATTAAAAAAAAAAAAAAAAAAAAAAAAAAAAAAAGCTGTTAAATATATATACTTTCACACTATCCAACAATATTAAATTTACAGCCCTGAAGGAGCAGCAGGAATTCCTTGGTTTTAGTTGCTTGCTTTAATAGATTTGCTTTATTGAAAGGTCATGAATCGCTCCATTTGGCCAACTCTCCTGATAGATTACTAAAGAACTCTTTAGCTTGTAGTATCTAGTACAATGAGAAATTTGAATGACTGTAACATTTTGAGCGTGGTTTGATTTTTTTTACATGCACCATTTATTTCTCATCAATTTGTTTTGGGGCAAGCGAAAACTCAGGGAAAAAAAGGAATCAGTCTTCCTTAACCAAAGGAAAAAAAAGAATCAGTCTTCCTTAACTAAGGGAGGCTTAACTTTCTTAACTTCCTTAACTTTCCTTCTGGTGAAATTGTGGAGAGCAGAAACAGAATGGATTTCTTTTCATTTCCTCATTGGGAATATTAAACGCAATGCAGCTAATTTGTCTGTGAATTAAATTTCCAGCTTTTTTCACCTCTTTAGTGTTGCTCCTATCTTTTATTTCACTGTATCAGGGGAAGATGCAGTACTGTGCTAGTTAAAGTATAGTGGAGGGAGAAAAGCTTTGCCTTGTGGTTTCTTTTTCTAGCATTGAATTTCTCTAACAAAGACAGATATGTACAGAAAGTAGTAAATGTAGTTGCTCTAGGAATCAATTGCTTAACAGTCTTCTCAGCCTACTGAAAAAAAAGAAGAAAAAAAAAATTTCTTAGGTGTACAAACTTAAAATGAGTCTTTCTGATGGAAATTCTTGTATTTCTAATTAGGGTTCTTCCTCAATCTACTGTGTGCATAACATAGATTTCAAGCATGTCATTTATGCTGGCTCCTCTCAGCCAGAGATGTCTACAACAGTAGCTTTAAAAACAGCTTCTCTGAAAGCATTTCCACTCAGATCTGGAGCCACATATGGGTTTGTGTGATGGGGCTAAAATTTCTTTGCTGTACCTAGATAGCCCCTAGCACGTTCATCCCTGTTCTCTCTAGTGGTGATGCCAGTATTATCCCACAATCAAGCAGCTGTCCTGATGAATAGAATTATTTCTTTAGAGCAAAAACTTTAAAGAGCAAGCAGGTTTTGATCTAGCAGACCAGCCTCTCTGCTTGCACATTAGAACCCACTGAAAGTCCCACACATTCATCTTCTCTGCCTTCCTCTGCTCAGAGGGCTTTTTAACTGTTTAATGTCTTTTCCGACTGTGTTGCTTTTGAAGCTTGAAATTCTACTGTTGCCCTGTTAGTTT